ACAATCATTCACATACATAGTAACAACAAACAGCACAACGTTGGCCGCCACGAATAGAGGTATCAGCCACGGGAACCAGTTCTTGAAATGCTTCACTTCCCGGTACACGACGGGGCTCGGGGCGGCGGCGGCGGAAGAAGGAGGAGATTCCAGAGACACGGGGTGGATCAAGTTGCTGCCCCGCCGCGAGTGGACTCGGATTGCGATGTCGTCCTGCGCCGCGGCCATCGGAAAATATACACAAGAAAAATATGTGAAAAATGAAAATGGACAATTAAAAAATTGGTGGGTTTTGAGCTTTGTTTATAGGTTCAAGGAGCGACGGTGGGTGGTGGTGGTTGGGCGGCGGAAGGGAGGAGGAGGAATTAGGTCAACGGCTTTCAACCGCCGTGTGGAGACATGGCCAGTAAGACAAGGGGGGGTGGGGAATGTTCGGTACCTACATGGCTATATACATCATTTTACCTATTATAATTTATAAATAGTTTTTTACTATATGTGAATTTAAATAAGAAAAATAATAATTACATGCGTAAGTTAGATATTTTATTCATCATTTTTTTTTTTTTTTTATGTATTGATCAAGTCTTACTGAAGGACACACGTATTTAAGCTAGGACAGTACGTGTAAATCTCCGACTTTATGGCATAACTTCATACTCCGAGTTCTTGAATATATAAAGTGTTCAGGAACTCCAAATCATGAATTGTATTTGAAGATATGAACTCTAGTGATGTTGTTGCGGAACATGTATTACTCAATGGGACTCTACAATGGTACACAATTGGTTATGACCAAACTCTCCAATCATGTTCTGGAGTGTAAAGTTTTTATTGGTGATCATGCAAATGATGAAGTTTTGATATCTCAGATGACCATATCTCCTTATGTCAAATTCCAAAGAAGGCAGTTCCCCATTATGGTTTCTTACGCAATGACTATAAACAAGAGTCAATGTCAATTCTTATCGCACGTTGACTTATTATTGAAGAAACTAGTTTTCAGTCATGGCTAGTTAAGGTCAATTTTTATCGCACGTTGGCATATTTTTAAAGAAACCAGTTTTCAGTCATGACCAGTTATATGTCGACGTCTCCCGTATTACTAACAGAAAATGTTTGAAAATTTTAATTTGTGGAGAAAAGGTTTGACAGAAAATAAAACCAAGAATGTTGTGTATAGAGAAGTGTTTAATAATATATGATTTTTTTTTTATATACTTTGCATTCCTTTTATTTTTTCTAATCGAATAATTAATTTTTAAGGAAAAAGTTCAGAAAAAAGAGTTTGAGGAAACAATCCCACCGTGCACGAGTAGTACACTTGTAAGTTATTAAGTTCCTGACTTGCTATGTATTTTCATTATTAAGTCTTCAATTTTACCAAAAAAAAAAAAAAAAGTTTTTTTAGCTTAATATAAAAGTTATTAATAAAAATATATGTTTATTCAACTATTGGTTGTATTATTCAGTTGTTGGTTGCATTATTCAGCATGAGGCTATACCTTTACACATTTGTGCGTTTATATATAATATTCTCTATCGTTTCGAACAAAAAAATTAGCTATAACAACATACATAATTGATTTCATTAAATTCCAACAAGCAAAAATTCAAAAATTTCAACAATATTCATTTTGTACTATTGAATCAACATATCCTCATGGTTGTAGCTATTTATCAGTTGATATTCTTCCTTTTTTTCTAGGCCAACTCTCCTGTTTTTTCTAGGCAAACACATTAAACAAAAACACAAACAACTAACCACTAAATACAAATACGATTTACGAAACACAATACCACACAATATAATTAGTAATTAGTTCGTTCTCACTACTCAGATCATCTTTTTCACCATAACCATAAAACACCACAACACAAACTATCGTCCAAATAAGATAAATCATAAAACAACATAAACCAAAACCTTAAAAGATCATCGAGATTCATTAACAAAAACAAAATTATTATTATTATTATTATTATTATTATTATTATTATTTTATTCATAATAGAACATAACACATAATATGTGTTTTTCAATCGGGTGACATCTATCTGGGCACGCACAAACATGTCGAATAAGGTATCTTTTCATCCTGAGCAATCGGGTAACCTGGCGGGTGGCAATTTCCATGCGGGCAATGGCCTAACCCACAATAAACCCGATTACACATCGTGTTGCAGATGTCGCCCCAACATGGGTCGAGAACAAACAAGTGCCCCCCCTCACAGCTCGGGCACATTATCGCTACCAAGGCGACGACGAGCGATAGAATAACTAAGCCCTTCTTCATCATACTTAAAAGCTCTCTCTCTACTGTATTAAGTTTTTCAGTTTTGAGCTTTACAATATGATGTGTATATATATATATATAGAGGATATGAATAATGGTAAGAGACTTGTAACTCCCGTATGCAAAATGTGAGATGCTATGTTAACGTAATTGAATGAAAGGTGTGTGAATTGATGAATTCAAAATCAAATAAAGCAATTTTATTATTTAGAAGATATATGTAATAATGGAATCAAATCACAGTAGTTAATTGCATGCATTTGATTATGCTAGTCATAACTCATAATCAATTTACTTAAATAAATATAACTAGTACAATACCCGTGTGCTACACTACAAAAAAACTCTTACATTCCAACGGAAATTTTCCGTTGGAATTCTTTATATTTTCCGTTGGAATAACTATTCCAATAAAATATTCCTACGTATAAAAATTCGTGGGAAAAATGACCGTTGGAATAGCTAAAATCCAACAGAAAATCCTATGGAAATAAATTCCTACAACTATTCCAACAGAAAAAATCTGTTGGAATTCCTCAACCATCCAACACTTATTCCAACATAAAATTAAGTTTTTTGGAATATTCATTGGAATTTCCAATGGAAATTTTTGCCGTTGGAATTTTTCGTTGGAATTGAAGTGTTTTCTTGTAGTGCTACACGGGTGTTGAGTTAAGAAATATATAATAAAGGTTATTATTAAAATAATTTTTTTATTAAAAATTTTGATGGACTAATTGATTAAAAAAAAAAAAGGAGAAATAGATAATGCGGAAAATGATTTGTAAATCGTAATTGAGGAGATAAATATAGGAAAAAAATTATAATATGGTAAGATTGTTACTTGCACAAACTAGAAGGAAATGTATACTAAGAGAAAAAAATAACAAAATTAGATATACACTTACCAAATTTGAAAAAAGTTATTTATGTCTAATACACACATTGGATGTAAACCAAGGTGTAAAGGAGAATGTACAAGTAGCATTATTCTTTATATTATGTATGTTTTAACGCAATACCCGTGTAGTACATATGTATTGTAATAGTAATATATATTTACATCATAGAGAAATACTCACCTACTCATGGTGGACACATGTTAATATGTCCACCGCGTAGGTGGCATGCACTCATTGGTGATGTTAATATGTTTAAAAAAATACATCATATGTCACTTACGCGATGGACATATTAACATGTGCCCACCGTGGGTAAGGTTTCTATTACATCATATCATTTTTAATTTGCCGCGTATTCAATTACTTTAAAGGAAAGGATTGACAAATATAATTTAGGAAATTATAAAAAATTGGTGATCATGGAAACATAATTTATGCAATATAATTGACTAAACCGCTTTATGGATTTGGATAATAGTCTTTAAGGGATTTAATTTACTAAATAGCATTCATCACAAAATAGTAGTCAAATCATAAAATATTTTAAAACTGAATATAAGAGATATGATTTAGTCAAAAGTTTTTATAGGAAGAGATTGATATTTCATTTCTTTAACAATATATGTTTTCAAATTGGTAAAATATATTAATATACA